GCCCATTTTTAACACTCCAGAATCAACAGGAGTATAAGATGAGAAAAAGTCTTTTCTTGGTGTGAAATATAGCTCCAGAATCTACTATCCAGCTCGTCTCATGGGATACCAAATTGATGACATTTTCATCATAAGCAAAAAAAAGGTCATCTCGAACAATAGCAGCAACATTGTTCTCGCTATTTTCAGCCTTCTTTCCTTCTCTAGTGTCTTGATTCAACTTGCGGCAAAACCTTTTGATGTGTCCTTTCTTGCCACAGTGGTTACATGTAATATTATAGTATTTGGACCTTGACTTACTTCTACTTTTACCTCTATTCCTTGAGCCTCTTGCTCTATCTCTCCCCCGGTCTTCAGTAACCAAGATATCTGTTTGTGAGGACGAACCCTGAGATTCTCTCCTTACTTCCTCGTTCAACACACCACTCTTGGCATATTTCATGGTCACCTTACCTCTAGGAGCTGAATTTGTCAAAGAAACACGAAGAGTTTCCCAAGAGTCTGGCAGAGTATTAAGAAGCCAAAGTTCTTGTATCTCATCATCAAAATTAACTCTCATTCCAGATAGCTGATCAAGGATGCCCTGAAAATCATTTATTTGATCAAGGATAGGGTTGTCTTCCTTGTATTTAAAGGTCATCAATTGCTTTAGCAGAAACAATTTGTTGTTCTCGATTTTTGAAGCATAAAGAGTCTCTAGCTTTTCCCACAATGATCTCGCATGTATCTCGTTCACAATATGTTTGCGAACATTATCTTCAACCCATTGTCGTATATATCCACATACTTGTTGGTGCTCGAAATCCCAATCTTCATCGGATATACTCTCGGGTTTATGAGCTGAAAAAATGGGTAGATGCATCTTCTTCACGAACAACAAGTCTTTCATCTTGCTTCTCCAAACATTATAATTTCTCTCATTTAAACATACCATCTTTCTCATATTCACCTCCATTCCGTAATAACCCGGATAAATAACCAAGGCTCTGATACCACTGTTATGACGAGGAAGAGGCAAATCCGAAAATTCACCACAACGTAAATAGAATTAGGTCTTTGAGGAGAAAGCAATAGTGTATTTAAAAATTATGCTAATTTTTGGCTTTATTTTGTGGTTATTGCATTTTAGGAACTTTTTTTTCCTTTAACTTATCTTTAAAATTATGCTCGTGATATGTATGATGTAATACCATGAGATATTTCATAATGTTTGCCACTTTATTTTTTTAATTTATCATCAATTACGAAATCATACTGGTTATTTAGCTTTAGCCATATGAGAGACAAAAGACGTCTCCATGGGTGAATATTTTAAAGGCAAAGCAGGTTGTGAGTTTTGCCTGCAAGAGTTTTTTTTAACGTTTATGTATTATTTTCTTTATCTTATATCTTTAATACGATACTCCTGATGTATATGGTGTAATAGCATTACACTTTAATTCCCTACTGTGTGCGATATTGGAATTTTAGAATATGAATTTGTGCCTGAAGATATATGTTTTATATATTTAATATGATGCTCGTGATATATGTTTGATTATGTAGTTTTAGCCATATGAAAGACCAAAGTCCTCTTTATCTTCTTTATCAATTAAAAGCGACGAAGATTGTTATTTTTTCCTTTAAGAGTACGTTTGTAGTGTTTATGCATAATATGTTCTTCCATATTTTTTATAATAATATATTGAAAAGAAATTTTAGATCATATGTTGTTGTATAATATCATAACACATTCCTTTGTGGCTAAAATATATAATTTTGGATTTTGATATTCTCACCTAGAAACTTTATTTTAGGCAGAAAAAAAAATCGCTGTTCAATGAACAAAACTCAAATGTTTTCTTTTGAAAAATTAGGATTGATACTACCATAAAATAATTTTATGTTATTTTGAACTCATTGATATGGAGAGACTCGTTCTTTATCTTGTAGCACCAAATATTATTAATTCCTTCTTTTTGCAGAGAACTTTGACATCAAAATGATTCAGAGATAATGCCACTACTGAATGTGTCCAAGCTTTTCATCACCGATAATGGACTATTCAGATAGTACGCTAAGCTGCTCTAAAGAACACGGATGCTCTGGGTCTCTTTTATCCCTCACGAAATATATTCCAATTTTCAAATTAAGGTTTCACAAATTAATTCAATCCCACTAAATTCAAAAACAATTCAATCACCGAATGTTTTGCGACTCCCAATTTCAGTCAATCAAAAGAAATTTTAAACCTAAATTTGAAACTAATAACTTGATGAAAATTATGTCTTTTACGACTATTACTGAATATCTTTGGGGTTCCCAAGTGAAGTGACATAATTGAGTAACCAAATTATAATGGCCAGTATCAACATTCTGACACAATTCATTAACTGATAGCCTGGAACAACTTGGTCAATAACAATTCTTTGACAAAATTAATAAGCTACCAGCTATAGTATTGCTTCATCATTCATGTACAGGTCGGGTATTCTTATATGTGACTAATTGACTAACAAACGATCGTTACAAAGGACCATCACTTTGATAAATATATCCGTAATTGTCCTTGTCTGATTTGTCCTTTATATGAAGCAACGAATGTAAAAGTCTTAATTTAATGTATTAAGATCTCATTGATATGCAGATAGTCGATTTTTAATTTTTAGCATGTCCTGCCTTTGTCTGACTTATCCTGAGCCTATAGGAATCGACCTATGTTTTTCCGATTTGTCCTGCACTTGTCGGCTTATCCTGCGCCTGTCCGAATTGACCTATAGTATGTCCGACTTGTCCTTTATCTGTCCAACTTACCTGGTTTAGCAAGCAATACCCCCAAAAAAAAAAAGATCCACCTAGTTCACCAAGTAAAGTTCAATGACTTTGCTGTAGTAATTAAATGGTGACCGGAATGAGTGATAAAGAAGATTAAATGAAACATTTTCTCCTAACCTTTAAAGTAGTGAAAAAGAACTCTCCTGGACGTAATTGCAAAAATCGAACAACTTGTGCTAGAACATGGGCTTCAAGAATCAAGATAATTTATTTTGAGAAGGCAAAACATCCCACTATAGCAGCACCAACGGCCAAAACAGAGACAAAGAGTCTCTGACGCAAATCCTCCAAATGATCAAACAGAGTCATTTCTTTATCATCGGGTAGGAGTTCTTTACTGGGGTAAAACAATACTCCCTTCACTATCTGATTCACTATTCTTAAATACACTCTCGCTTGAGCCATCAACAACATCTGAATTTCAAAAATAAAATGCATTATAACGATAAAATTACACCCAAAACTATTTTGCGATCATGGACAATCACCGGCTCACAGCACAATGAAAAAAGATAATAAAAGAAAAGAACCATTTTTTGTACGATAAGGGTGTTGTTCTGGAGAGTTGCATCGTAGAGGTGTTGATAATTGTACAACTTACGTCTGTCCGACTTGTCCTCCACCTGTCCAACATATCTGGTTTAGCAAGCAATACCCAAAAACCAAATATGATAGTGATTTGTAGCCGAGATTATTAACAAAGGAAACTCATAACAACACTAAAAATAAAGTAAAATTCCAACTTTCCCCTTTAATAGTTAGTGGCTTAATGAATTTGCTTTAAAGATTTGATATGATGAGTACATAGGTATCCAACCAACAGAGAAAGTATGAAAGAAAATCAAATTATTTAGACTTTAAGAGCTGAAATAAATAAGTAAACATATCATAATTTATGTAGTCCCTGAAGTATTTAATATGTGTCTCAATGCTATTCGTGTACACTCATTGCATCAATTCTTGACTTTCTTGCGGACAAAAGCGTCAACCAACTGTTGAAAGAATTTAAAAAAGTATTCAAACCCCATCATTCTCTTGTTGCAGCTAGTTCCATTCATTGACTTATATCAGCAGTATGAGATAGCTTTGAAATCTGTATAGATTCAAAGCTGCCATAAAACAACAAAGTTCACCTTGACATTAATGTAGATAGCTTGATAGAGAAATAACTATATATAGAACCAGTGTAACATTGAGATAAGGCAAAAAGTAACCAACAATGGCAAGTAGCCTCTTTACTAATTAACAATTAAATGGAGAAGTAAAATTGAATGGACTTCTTATCTATATGAATAGGAAAACATTAATAACAGAAAGGACCATGAAAAGTTTCAAATATCTTGTCCATTGAAATCTCCACATTAAGTAAAACTGAAAAGTTAAACAGGAGAAGAAAGGTGAAATGATTCAAATATACTATTCATAACTAATAAGACTACTAATAATATACTAAAGTAACTAATCAAACAGTTCTTGATTTCTCGAATTGTAACATTCACAAACACCTTATGATGTTTTCTTCTTCTTAAATACTCTCTTGATTTTATTTCCTGACAATTGTGCATTCGGATCTTCTTCAACCATTGTTGCGGCATTAGTTATACCTATCTTGGCAGGTGTATTTGCAATATCGGTTAAGTCGTTATCTTCAGTGGAATCCTGCATATATAAAATACAAAATTAGTGTAAATCAGTAATGAACTTATAGTTACTATAGCTTTATTAATTTATGCCCTACAAATAATTTAATCAAAAGAATGAATAATCTAAAAAATATAAATAGTGTGTTCATAGCTTCCTATAGAAAAAACAAAGTGAACATCTAGAACTTTTAAAGTTATGAAAAAACTACTCCAGATCTGAAAATTTATTCAGAAAGAAATCCTTCGAGATATGTAAGTAGCTTTAATGTTAAAGGACATATTAGCTATGTATTTACCTCGCATTCCTTCTCTCCATCTAAGCTTTGATTAGTATTGAAGTCAGGGTCCTATCAAAAAAATTAAAAAATGAGTTTGAAATTATACAAAAAAATATGTAATTTAACAGAAACTCACAATTTAAATATGTTATGAAGTTTGTAAGCGAAGATCACATACATTGAAGGTATCTGAATGTGGAGCAGGGCTATATTTGTTTATCAGTTGCTCGTCATCTGTAAGTTTAACAACACTGTAAACTTTAGCTTGCAATTGAATGTTCGACCTTTTGATAATAACCTTAAACATGAATTTCCTCTCAAGAACATTGTTCAAGTCCATTGGATAGGAACACTTATCAACAGCACCAGTATTCTAGAATGAAATTTCGCGTTAGAATGTTCCAAATAACAAATATAAATATAATTAGTTGATATACCTCAGGTAATCCTTCCTTCAATTCATTTGCGGACTTGCCTATAAGAAAGATGGCTTCGCGGTCCCAGAGCAACAGCGAAACAGATCCAGTATTCTAACCTGAAGCATGTACCTAAATACACATGTGATTTGAGATATAAATGTACATTTTGATGCATTAAGGAAATAGAGCTTGTGTTATTACCTAGTCACCGCTGAGTAATCTTCATTTTTACATTTTTGGTTTGGGCAAAGATAAATGTTTCCCGATTTATCCACCTTCTTTTGACACTTCTTACAGCCAACGTACGACCACCCTTTTTCAAGTTCTAAATTTTCAATACTTGCAACAATCCAACAGGGACCTTCCTGTTGAATAAATTGATAAGACAAATGTAATAAAAAGACATAAAAAATATGGTCTATCAGAATATCAAAGAAATAACATAAATGTAATTCAAGAACTTTTCATATTCTAAATTATCAACCACTTTTTCAAACCATAAAATAAGAGAACTAAAGGCCAAAACTAAACTTGAAATGTAATGTAAAGACATAAAAAAGATGGTCCATGTGGCGAGTCATTGACATGAGGAAAGGATAGATACCTCTATGATATGGATTATGATTTAGAGGAACTATGCCGACATGCCGTTGATCGCAAGCAAGGCGAATTAGTTGATATCAATTTGTAGTATTTTGCCACTGATAAGTTGCTTTCTTACATAGCAGAAAGTTATATTCTGTCTTTCTTTAGTTTAAGCTTACAGTGTAGGTGCATTGTTTGTTTGATGTTTGTTATTTTTGTTTATTTGTTTATCAAAGAAAGAAGATAAATGTAATGTAAGAACTTTTCATATTCTAAATGCTCAATCACTTTTTCAAACCATAAAATAAGAGAACCAAAGGCCAAAAGTAAACTTGAAATGCAATGTAAAGATGTTCTTTACATTGAAAGAAAAGATGTTCTTTCAGAATATCAAAGAAAGAAGATAAATGTAATGTAAGAACTTTTCATATTCTAAATGCTCAACTACTTTTTCAAACTATACAATAAGAGAACCAAATGCAAAAAATAAACTTGATATTTTAATTTTCAGTGTAGGTATCTAAATGCTCAACCACTTTTTCAAACCATAAAATAAGAGAAACAAAGATGTAAATTTTTCCAACTTTTAACATGAAAGACCAGTTAAATTAATACTACACAAGTTAGTTCACTCACTTGCATGGACTCCTGTCACGATCCCGGTTCGCCCTCCGTGAACCATCATGAAGGCACCTAGTCTTCTACGACTAGGTAAGCCTAAATTGCGGAAGATAAACCAAGTGCGGAATAAAAACAAATTAAAACAGAATGAAGAACGATAAAACAGTGTTTAAAAGTACTGCTCGGCATACACAATATTTAACTCTCAAACCAATATATACTTCAAAGACCTAGAAACCTATGAATCACAAGCTAAGGATCACTACACAGTATTCTAACTCCAGAACATCTAACAAGGAAAAAAGAAATACACAAGGGCAAATGTTTAAAAGCTAGAATAGAAAGGGACTCCTCGGTCTGCGGACGCGGCAGATATACCTCAAAGTCGTTGGAGCAGTCGCCTCACCTCAAGGGTGATAGGAATGAGTCGCAGTACCTAAATTTGCACATGAAAAACATGCGCAGAAGGGGCATGAGTACACCATAGCGGTACTTAGTAAGTGTCAAGCCTAACCTCGGTCGGGTAGTGACGAGGAAGGTCAGGGCCCTACTGAGATAAAATAAAGAGTATAAGACATGACAGTATAAGATAAGCAGTACAGTTGAGAACTAACGATAAGAATTTAACACAAAAAAAACAAGGAATTCAATAACGGAAATAGAGGCAAAAACAATCACAAGAAAATAACCGGGGATCTCTAAGTATCCCGAGGATCTCTTAGTACCCTCAATATATGCCAGGGATCTCTTGGTATCCCGAGGATCTCTCGGTTTTGGGTCATCACTTGTGTTGCAATGAAATTCTACGTTCTGAGGCCTTAAAAGCTTCCCTTAGCACCACTTCGATTTGCGTGCACAATCCGGACGCATAGCCGAAAAGCTTAAATGTGAAAATCTATGAAAAATAATAAGTTTTGACTGTGAAATGAATAAATTTGACTTCGGTCAATGTTTTGGGTAAACGGACTCGGACCCGTGATTCGATGGTCTTGGAAGGTTCGTAGGAAAATATGGGATTTGGGCGTTTGCCCGAAATTGGATTCCGAGGTCCCAAGCCCGAGAAACGAATTTTTTTAAAAGAAAATTGCATCCTGAAATTGTTTAAAGAAATTTGAAATGAAATTTGCTTAAAACATGGTGGTATCGCGCCGTATTTTGGTTCTGGCACCCGGTACAGGTCTTATATATGATTTAAGACATTTTTGTGGAATTTGGTGAAAACAGATGTCATATGACGTGATTCAGACTTAAATCGCAAAATTGATCTTTAAAGAAGTTTTGAGAAAATTTCATTGGTCTCGAGATTTAATTTGATGTTCATGATGTTATTTTGATGATTTGATTACACAAATAAGTTTGTAGGATGTTTTTGAGGTTTTGTGTGCGTTTGGTTTGGAGTTCCGAGGGATCGGGTGAGTTTCGGGTAGGTTTCGGGGTGTCTTAGGCTTAAAAACTGAGCTGTTGCAGGCTCAGAGAGGTGGAGGACCTCTGAACAGGCCAGTGCGGTCCGCACGATATGGACCGCTGTCGCGTAGAGGCCTGCGCGCTGCACTAGTTTTGGTGCGGTCCGCGGTGAAAAATACTTCACTGGTTCGACTTCGGAAGCCTATATCTTTTGATCCATAAGAAATTTTGAGATGATTCAAAAACAAAAGTTGTAGACCTTCGTTTCTAGTTTCTAGAAAGGTAAAGAAATCACAATTTGGACATCTTTAGAGAAAGATATGGCCAAAGTACTATGGCCTATCACTGCAGAACATAGGGAGGCCTGTGCGGCCGCGGTCAATTTTGTGCGGTCCGCACAGGGCATCTAAGGGTAGTATATTTAGATGAGATTTTTAGTTATTTTTCATTTTTTAAAACCCCAAAAACATAAGAGGCGATTTTTCAAACAACCTTTCTTCTCCAAATCTATTGTAGGTCATTTTTAACTAGTTTTCTTCAATGATTAACATCTTTTAACATGATTTCAACTTCAAATCAATGATTTTCATGGGGGAAATTGGGTGTTTTGGGTAGAACCTAGGTTTTTAAAAAATTGGAGATTTGGACCTCGATTTGAGGTTNGCGAATTGGTGGTGGAATCAAGGGGTAAAGCTATAATTGAATTGTGAATTGTGTTCGTGGCATCGAGGTAAGTGTTAGGTATAACCTTAGCTTGAGGGATTAGGAGTTGTGTCCTATTTGCTATTTGCTTCTTGTTGAGTATGACATATAGGCATGGTGACGAGTATCTATATGTTTGTGTCAAGCATGACCGTGAGCCTTATATTGTGATTTTTCATGATTTCGTTGTATTATTCATGCCTTGGTGAAGATTTCTAATTGTTGTATAAAGTTTGTGGAAAGAATTGTGACCTATGAACATTGAGGAGCGTTGGCTCAAGTTGTGTATCGAAATTGTGAAAGTATAAGTGACAATTGAACTTTTAGAGCATTGGCTCGAGTTGTGAAATGAGTTGTGAAAGTCTAAGTGATAATTGAAACTCTAGAGCATTGGCTCGAGTTGTGACGTGAATTGTGAAGTAAGAGTGAGAAAGAGAAGAGATCATTATGTTGCCCCCTTGCCGGGCTATTATTGAATTGTGGTTCCTTTGCATTGTGTTCTTAATTAATATTACAGATGCTTAGGTTGATGATTCTTGGTGTTGGGTAGGGATTATGGGTATAGTTGAGGTAGTTAGGTGTCGGAATGAGGTTGGTTATAGCTGAGGTAGTTAGGTAGTTAGGTTTCGGAATGAGGTTGGTTATAGCTGAGGTAGTTAGGTGTGGTAACGAGTTTGGTTATAGCTGAGGTGTTTAGATGTTGTAACGAGTTTGGTTATAGCTGAGGTAGTTAGGTGTGGTATCAAGTTTGGTTATAGCTGTTTCTCCCTGGTCGGGACGTGGTTTCTTATGTTGTCGAATCCCATATGGGGACAATGTAGACCTTATTTATCTCTTATCGGGACTCTCGTTATAATTGTAAATATTATATATGGATCGGGTTGTACGCCGCAACAATATTATATATGGATCGGGTTGCACGCCGCAGAAATATTATATATGGATCGGATTGCACGCCACAACAACGTTATATATGGATCGGGTTACACGCCGCAAAAATATTATATATGGATCGGGTTGCACACCGCAACAACATTATATATGGATCGGGTTGCACGCCGCAACAATATTATATGTGGATCGGGTTGCACGCTGCAAAAATATTATATGTGGATCAGGTTGCACGTCGCAAAAAAGATATAATGAAATGGGAACGGGTGGTACGCCTACCACAAGATATAATAAAATGGGAGCGGGTGGTACGCCTACCA